GTTGTTTCCATCTTTTTGCTATAGTGAACAATGCTGCAATGAACATGGGTGTGCGTATGTGTATTTGTGTGATGGCTCTTATTTGTCTAAGATATATTCCTAGGAGTAGGATTGCTGGATTGTATGATATTTCTACTTCCAGCTTTTCAAGGAGGTGCCATATCGTTTTCCATAGTGGCTGTACTATTTTACATTCCTGCCAGCAGTACCTAAGAGTTCTAATTTCCCTGAAACCTCTCCAACATTTGTTATTTTTTGTTTTTTTGATCCGTGCCAGTAATGTTGGGGTGAGATGGTATCTCGTTGTAGTTTTAATTTACATTTTTCTAATGGCTGATGATTGCAAGCATTTCCTCATATGTCTGTTAGCCGCCTGAATGTCTTCTTTGGTGAAGTGTCTGTTCATATCCTTTGCCCATTTTTTGATTGGCTTGTTTGTCTTTTTGTTGTTGAAGTGTTGAAGTATTGTATAGATTTTAGAAATTAGACCTTTGTTGGATATGTTGTAGCCAAAATTTTTTCCCCAGTCTGTAGTTTCTCTTTTTACTCTTTTGGTGAAGACTTTTGATGAGCACAAGTGTGTAATTTTTAGGAGCTCTCAGTTATCAAGTTCATCTTCTGGTGTTTGTGCATTGATAGCTAGGAGTCTCTTTGTGGGTACACGGAATTTCTTAACTTCACAGAAGGCATTTTAGAAATCATACGGCTCTGCTTTTTATTCATAGAGAGGAGAATCTACTCTGGTCCAGGGTACTTTTGGACATGATCAGACTTAATCCTTGTAATACTCATTTGAGGTAAGTACTATTATTCCCATTTTACCTATAACAACACTGAGGCTCAAAGAGGTCAACCTACCCAAGGCCACACGGCTAACTTTGGGAACCTGGATTCAAATCCTGGTTTGTTTGGCTTCAAGGGCTTTGGATCCAGAAATTCCTTCTATAATATTTCTGACAGATGTCTCTCAAATACTTCCAGTGATGAGGAACTCACTATTTTGCAACATAGCACCTTTCATTGCGGGCATCTCTGTTTCCTCGTAGTTTGACTGAGACCTGCCCCACTAACTTCCACTCACCGCTCCTTTTGCTCTTGGGAGCAGCACAGCATATCCTCCTTTTTAATCTGATGGCCGTTGAAATACTTTAACAATAACAAAATGACATATGTCTTGTGCTATATTCTCAGGCTGACTTTGTCCAATTCCCTTATCTGAAGTCTCAGTGATGTGATTTCCAGACTTCTGTCAGCCTGGTTACTTTCCATTTTTCTTAAGTACAGAGCCTAGGACTGGATACAGTACTGCAAATAGGTCTGAGAGGGACAGAGTAGAGGGGGACTCCTCCTAACTTTTTAAGTTTAAATTCTATATTTCCATAGCAGGGAAATTATTAACAATGATCTTCTGTTGAGTGTCTTCTATAGGCTAAGGTCTGCCAAGCTCTACTAAGTACTGGGCTAGACCCTCTACTCACCTTATTGCTAATTCTCAAAATATCCATCTCATTTCAGTTAGTTTCTGAGGCTCAGAGAGAACTGTGATAACCCAACATCACGCAGAGAGTAAGTGGCAGAGCTGCGATTTGAACCCCAATTTTTCTGGTTGAAAGAGCTAAATTTTTATAGCAGGGACCATTCCCAACACTGCTGTTATTTCTCAGCAGCTTTGTCATGATTGGCCTCTGTTGAGCTTGTGGTCTGTCTAAACACTTTCCTACTTTTTTTATATGAGTGGTTATCAAAACATATCCTATTTCAGTGTGATTGTCTTCTTGATCCTAAATGCAACACTTCACATTTATTGGTGGTCTAGCCAGCTGAGAGGTCTTTATTCTTTCATGCTGTTATTCTTTCCCCTTTGGTTTCCTTGACAATTTGTTAATTGTGCCTTTTTTTATCAGTAGCTAACTCACTGATACATAGCTAACTATTTAAAGACCAGGGTGTGCCTGACCCCAGCCATGGTCTTCTCAGTCGCCTCATAAATGCATGTGAAAGCTGGACAATGAAAAATGAAGATCGAGGGAGAACTGATGCCTTTGAACTGTAGTGTTAAGTAGGTCAGGATTCTGACTTTATCTTCCAGGCATCTGTTACACTCTCTTCCTAATAGTCTCACTTGGAAACTGACTGAGCAAGGGTCATATTCTCTCATCCAAACATAAGAGATGTAGAGAAGATAGACTTCCCAACTGAAGACAAACACACTAGCCCGGTCAGGTGCATTTTACTGGCCCTAATAAGCAAGCTTGTCCGTCTACATTATCCATAATCCCCACTGGGAGCCCCTCGGGGCAGGGACTGGATCCTTCTGCTCTTTGTATCTTCCCATAGTGCTTTGTTCAGACTCCACATACAAGGTACGCTCAAGGCTGTACATTTTTGCTGGTCCTTGCCCTCCTTGAAAAATGTCAGATATGATAAACTGAAGGAAGTATCTTCACATCAAAGTGATAATGATATGACTTGAAGTGTACAGAATATTTTCTCTCTAGAAGTATCAGAAATGGGCAAATGTATCTTTTAGCCTGTTAAAAATGAGGCTGTGAGTCTTCTTGCTTTTAACACTTTTTGGCCCACATCAGGGATGTTGTTGTTACTTGCTGTTGAATCGACAGCAACTCATGGCAACCTTGTGTTTAACAGAACAAAACGTTTCCTGTCCTGCGCCATCTTCATGATAGTTGCTATGTTTGAGTTCCATTATTTTGGCTATTGTATCAATCCATCTCATTGAGAGTTTCTCTTGATTTTGCTGACCCTCCACTTTACCAGATATGATGTCCTTTCCTAGTGATTGGTCTTTCCTGATGATGTGTCCAAAGTAAGTGAGCCAAAGTCTCAGTATCCTCGCTTCTAAGGAACATTGCGGTTGTATTTCTTCTAAGACCTATTTGTTGGTTCTTCTGGCTGTCTACAGAATATTCAATATTCCCCACCAACACCACAGTTCAAAGGCATCAATTCTCCTTTGATCTTCCTTTTTCATTGTGC